CGCTGGATCTTCGCAGGCAGCTCGCTGACGATCATATGGACGACTCCGGCGCGTACGCAGCTCAGGATTGCGCTGGACAAACCTATCAACCCAGTTCTTGCCAACCTCCTCTCCACCGCGCTCTCGGAGCAGTCTATTAGCCATATCTCGCACGTCGTCTCTCCCACAGGGTAGTCCTCGCTCAGCCTCAACTATTACACGTTGAGTAATGGCCTCCTCTTCTAGTTTTGTTAGGCGCTTAGTTGGTGGTTCGTAGTCGCGTCGACAGGGCTTTCCATTACGTCGCCTTTGTATCGTCCGTCTTGGCACACTATAGATTAATTCAGCGCGCCTTAGGCTTAAGTTTTCGCGTTTTTGGAGATCAGAGATAGCAATAGTAACGTCAGCTTCAGTATAGGTCTTAGGAGTTTGGCGTTGTTGAGACATCACGCGTTATTATTGCGAAGGTGAGGTACTAGGATTTCGTGGGGCGCACACTGGGGTGGGGCGCACACTGGTGAAACACGTTAGCTATAAATACGAAAAGCATATAGTAGTAAAAGACTACTATAAATACTAATAAGAAGAGTCTTTTTTAGGCTAACGATAGAGTAATAAGGCCCCGCTAGGGAAATTAACGTACTAGAACCTCTAGGATTAATAAGGCTTATAATAGAGCTTAACAGAAAACGGATATAGGCACTAGTGGACTTAAGATTATAGGCAAACTATATTTTAGCGCACGTAGTAGACCGAGCTAGACTTAAGAAATAATAGAAATAATAGCTATACCTACTACACGTAGCTAACGGCGAACTAATGCTAAAAGAAAGTAATATTATATATAAGGTTAGATAAGTAACACTTAGTATCTAGAAGTATATAAAGAAGATTAATCTAGACGTTATTAGACTAGCTACCCACGATATTATTTTAGAACTTCTATAGCTTAGGAAATATAACCTACAGATTAACTAGAAGTTAAAGATATTTTAATTCAAATACTACGGAAAGAACGTAACTATAAGCTAATCTACGTATTAGTAGAGTTTAATAGTAGATAAGAGTAATATTACTAAATAATATAATAACACTAAAAAGAAGGTGTAGTTAAATAGTAGTTCCCTTAATAGAAAGCTATACTCCGCAGATACTAAAATTAGCCTAATAGATTAAAAGGCGAGAGGAAGAGAGAATAGCGTAACTCTAGAATTCTCTAAAGAATATAAAGAATATAAGCATCTATTTTAGGAAGTGGTAGATAAAATAGCGTTACTAGAATATAAACTCTAGAACTATAAGATAGTCCTATAGGAAGAAAAGATACTAACTTTTAGGCTAATATATTAACTATTAGAAAAAGAACTTAAGGTACTAAGAGAGTATATAGATAAGAGCCTAGCTAAAGGATATATACGACTATTAAAGTTACCCGTAAGTTATCTAATTATGTTTATACTAAAAAAGGACAGAATAGATTAACTATATATTAATTACTAGCGACTTAACAACATTATAGTAAAAAATTAATACCTACTACCTAATATTACGGAGCTTAGAGATTAATTGTCTCGTGCGAAGATCTTTATAGTACTAGATCTCTAAGATAGATACTATCTTATTAGGATAAAGTAGAGCGAAGAATAGAAAATAGCCTTTAGAACTTAATATAGATACTATAAGTATAAGGTTATGCTATTCGGACTTATAAACGCCCTAGTAATATTCTAGGAACTTATTAACAACGTACTTAGGCTATACCTAGATATATTTATCATCGCCTATCTAGATAATATCCTTATTTACTTAGAAAATAAGAAAGACTATATCTTATATATAAAAACAGTACTTAAGGAACTAGATAAATATAGCTTTAGACTTAAGCTAAAGAAGTATAAATTCTATAAAAATAAACTTAACTTCTTAGGCTATACAATAGGAGTTAACAGAGTATAAATAAGTAAAGAAAAAATCTAAGTTATTAAGAATTAGCTAACACTAACTATAGTTACGGAAATCTAGTTATTTCTAGGATTCGTAAACTTTAATTGCTAATTTATTAAGAACTTCTTAAAAATTATAATACTAATAACACGACTTATACGGAAAGATACGCCATTCGTATAGAGTAAGAAAGTAGAAGAAGCTTTTAATAAGCTTAAGACCGCGTGTATTATACTACTATGTTTTAAGATATTTACCTTAGGTGTACCTATAAAAATTAAAATAGACGCATCTAACCTCGTATTAGAAGGCTACGCTAGTATACTTATTAACGAAAAATGGCACCTAGTAGTATACTACTTAAGAAAGTTCTTAGAAGTAGAAGAAAGATATAACGTATACAACAAGGAACTTCTAGCTATTATAGAATACTTACGCTACTAGAGAGTATATTTAGAAAGCTATTTAGAACTTATAGTCTATACAGATTATAAGAACTTAGTATACTTTATAATAATAAAGATACTTAACTAAAGATAAATAAGATAGGCTAAACTACTAGGATAATATAAGTTTAAGATTATCTACACTCTAGGGAAGAAAAATAGAAGAGCTAATACTCTTAGCTAACGGCACGACATCGCAGGAACTAAAACGATAGTTAATAGACCTATACTTAAAACTAACGAAGACAGATCCCTAGAACCTATATACGAACTTAATATTATTATAAAGATTAGGAACGACGTACTTAAAGAAGTATAATAAACTATTATTAAAGAACATTATAACGATCCCGTGTATAGGCACCTAGGAATCGCTAGGACTATAGAACTAATTTAGCGCAACTACTAATTTAAAGAAATAAAGAATAAGATTATATCCTATATGGCTAAATGCGTAGATTACTAAAAGAATAAATATAGTATATATGCACTATATAGAGAGATATAAGCCCTAGAACTGCTATAAGAACTATAGACGGATATTTCTATAGACTTTATTATAGGATTACTAGCTTTAAGAGACCTAACGACTAAGATTGCCTATAACGTAATACTTGTCGTAGTGGATTGCTTTACGAAATAAGTAGAATATATTCTATTTAGGAACGACTATATAGTAGTAGACCTAGCACATATTATCTACGACCGAATTATCTGACACTACGAAATACTAAAATCTATTATTAGTAATAGAGATAAGCTATTTATATCTAACTTTTAGACAACACTACTTGTAGTAATTAGAACTAAGAGAAAACTATTAATAGCCTACTACTTATAAACTGATAGACAAATAGAATAAATAAATTGAATAATAAAAACATATCTTAGAATCTATGCTAATTAATAATAAGATAATTAGGTATAGTTACTACCTACGGCACAAATAGCATATAATAACAAAACATTAGAATTAATAGGTAAAATACTGTTTTTCGCCAACCACGGACGATATCTAAATCTCTTTACTAGAATATATCTAAGTCTAAAAATAGAAGTAGTAATAGTAATAGCTAAATAACTAAAGAAAGCCCACGAAGAACTACGAACGTTACTTAAATAGGCTTAACGCTAAAGCATTTCCTATTAAAATAAGAAAAGAAAAATAGCACCTTAGCTAAAGAAGGGGGATAAAGTATATCTACTTATAAAGAACCTTCGCACTAAACGACTAAGCAAAGGACTAGACTACGTTAAGGTCGGACTATTTTTAATTTTGAAATAAAACGGACCTATAACCTATATACTTAACCTACTAGCTAATATAAAGATATACCTAAGATTCTACGTACGACTATTGGAACTAGCAGATCCCGAAACGCTACTATAAGAAATATTCTATTATAAACTAGAAGAAAAAGATGAATTCGAAGTCGAGAGAATCGTCTCACACTGAATAAAAAATAATAAAACTAAATACCTAGTTAAATAGTTAGGATACCTAGATAGCGAGAACACATGGGAACTAGAATCTAACCTATCTAACTGTAAATAAAAAATTTAAAAATATTAACGACGATAATAAGACTTAAATAAACGACAAAACTATAACTCAACTAAGTCTCCCGACACTAGAAGACATAGTTAAGCTGCTGATAAAACAATGAATAAAAACGCAATAACGTAGTTTATAAGCGAGTGAGCCATATAAGCGAGTGAGCTACCCTACCAACTTTGCGCACCTCTGTAGGCGTATAGCTCCATTATAATATAATTATTTTGCTATATATTAATATAATTAATTAAGTAGTACCTAGAGTATCTTTCTTACACGTACGCGCATTATGGCTAGTCTCTTTACACCTACTACAGCGCGTAAGAGCCTGGCGGCTAATACCTAATCGCTCTTCTTCTTAACGCTCTTCATGAGTAATCTGCTAATTAGCCTCGCGCTAAGCGAGTAGATCCTCTCTAGCTCCCTTTGTTAGTGTTACACGGGGTAAGGGTCTATACTTCTCTATCCTGGTCCGCACTAAGGCAGGTGAGTATTACGTTAGTGTTCCGTGAGGCTTGTCTGGCGATGCAGTGGAGTTGGCGTGCTTAAGGAGGGTTTGACAAGACTAATCTATTTGATAGACTAACTTGTGACAATCTTGTTAAGTAAAGATACTAGTAAGAAAGTACAATTTGAGTTGACCACAACGAGAGTAATAATGAAATCCATCTATCCTTATATCCTCATTGCTTCCAGTCCTGCCATCCCGTCCATCCCATCTTGGCGGGAGGTCTGGGATGGCGCTGCCATCCCTTTATGCACTGCCATCCCGGATGGCCAGCCTTGGCGGGATGGCACATCACGTGACTCCGAGCCCCGCAATGTCCATTACCTTTTGACGTGGACGTCCCTAGGCTCGCAGCCATCTCGTCATTTGTCAAGGAAAGAATCCTTCTTGTTACTTGTAACAGTTAGCACTCCTTACTTCTGTATCTGCTTCTTCTTACGCTGCCTACGCTTTATTGCGGCTTTGTTCGCCTTCTTAAGGCTGGCTATCTGATCGCGTATTAGCTTAGCCGAGAGCATTATTACCTTAGCCCTCTTCTTAAGCTAATTAATTACTATAATAATTAAAGCTAGCGATAAGCCTTGATGCCGCTAAACGCGATCACGTATTAATGTTAATTAAGCTTTAAGCTCGCGTGTGTTGCTAGGCGTGCGAGCCTGCTAGAGAGCCTCTAGAGCAGCTGGTGGAGTAGGCGTACGGAGCTTTATATTAAGTCTTGATAGAACAGCATATAGCTGGAGAGGAATAAGGCCTGCGCCGCGGAAGGCAGAGTAGATATTAGATGGCGTGAAGGATCGATCGAACGCTACCTTAAACGCTGGCAGAAACTTAAGCTTAGTGATGTAGTTAATGTAATAGCGGATTAGGCTCTCTACCTCGCGGCTGTACGCGCGCTTTAACAGCGAGAAGTAGCTAACGTTAAGAGACTAGAGTAGATAAGATAAGTGAGGCGGCATATAGAGCGTATATATATTATTCTCCTTGTAGAACTCTTAAAACTCTAGAGACTGGTGGCTCTTATGGCCGTTAAGAATAAGCAGGCGACGTGTACTAATAACGCGAGTCTTCGTGTGGGCATTGAAGTGCTTTATCTATACGACGCTTAGCTCGTTATTTATCCAGCTATTATCGCTAACTGCGATCGCCTAGTCGCGTAGGATCTCTATCTCCTTATACTAAGCAGATAGGTAGTACTTACTAGCGAATATAAGGAATGGTGGGACTAACTAGCCAGCTGCGTTAATCGCTACGATTAGCGTCACCTACTTACGATTACCTAGCTTAACTACCTTTAGCCGGCCTCTTCTCTCTAACGCTATAACGATAAGTTAAGTTATAATCTTGCCTATTATAAAGCCAGCTTCGTTAAAGTTATAGATGTTCTCGTCGTAGATACTATACTTAGCCTTTATCTACTCTATAAGCTCAAACTAGCTCTTAATTAGAACTGGATCTTTATATAGAGCTTTCTGCCTATTATACGCTTAACTAAAACGCGTTATAAGACTATCTATACGCTTAATAAAGTTACGTGGCTAGTGGACGCCAATCTAGCCAGCGCCGCGCGCAGCTAGGAGTCTATTAGCTATATCGCGCACAGCTGCGTAGGTAGGTGAGAATCTACGTAGATTAAGATTAAGTATATAGCCAATAATCACCTCCTCTTCTAGCTTAGTAAGCTTCTTTAAGTTGGGCTGGCAATCGCGTTAGGTAGGCTTACTAGCGCGTCGGCGGTAGAGAGTAGCGCGAGAAACATTAAATGTAGCTGCAGCACGCCTTTTAGTTTAAACTTAACTTTTTTTAAGAGCTAATAGTGTAAGGTATATATTAGCCTAACGAGGGACGTGTTAGAATAGATTTGGTAGAGTTATTATATATTGTAATAAGAGAGGTGCGTAAAGTTAGTGGGGTAGCTCACTCGCTTATATGGCTCACTCGCTTGTAAACTACGTTATATACTAAGGAAAATCATACTACGTACTTTAACTACCGCCAGAAACGGGCACGTTACCACCAGAACCAGAAGCAACTAAGCTTAAATTAAGAGGATCCTAATAATCTAGAGGCAGATCCGCGAAGGCACCCTAAGTACTAAGAGATAAGTTAACTAATAGATTAGACCCGTTAAACTCTATAACGCCTTCCTGCTCTAACTCTTTAAGCTCGCGACTTTCTATAGCAATCGCCTTCTTAGCCTACTTCTCTAACAAATCCATTTACAGCCGCAACTACTACTTCTAAGTACAATATGTTTATAACTCCGCTAGAGCCGCCTTATACGCTTTTATTATAGTATCTTACGCCTTATAACTCTCTTTAATATAAGCTTCTAACTTTTCCTTTTTAGTAGTAAGACGCTTAAACTCTGACTTAGTAACTTAGACGTTACATTACTAGCTACGATGAAGATACTTACTATACTTTCTAGAACGGATATACACCTTATATACCCGCTTATTCTTCTTATAAGTAGAATACTTCTAAACTATGATTTTTCTAAAAGAATTAATAAACTTAGTAATATTTTGACGACAGACGGTACTAGATAAAGATTGTTATTTAGGTATAACGAAGAAACTAGGCAGACGACGAGACCTTATAACGCGGGGTAAGCCTAGTTATAGCGCGCCACTACGCCGAAACCTAATTAAGTTAGCGTAATAAACACTACACTCTTAGAACGTAGTGCTTGTTAGACTAAGCCCGTTATAGACGGAAGTACCTATCCTTAAGCCTTCCTAGAACCTAAACATTTCTAGGAACCTAGCATTCCTAGGAACAAAACGCTCTTAAAAACCTTACGCTTTTAGGAACACAGCGCTTATATAAACGCTACGTTAATAATAACCCCTTATTTTTAATAACCTATTTCTTTTAGTAGCAGTTTACTTTTAGGAACATTCTACTTACGGTAACTATAGAATTATAGTAATATATCTCTCTAGAAAACTCTAGACTATATATTACCTTAAGGATAAGTTATAAGAGGAGGAGAATAGTGTTATAATTAGCCTTAGAATGTAGAGGATATTTCGCTATTATATTTATTTAATGAGTAATCTATAAGACGGCGAATCCGCAGTAAGAAATAGAGACACTTATTTAGGACTAGCGCATCACGTGATATATAAGATGCTTAGTGATTAGTGTGTCTTAGCACTACTAAGCAACTAAGCACTCCGCATATCGTCTGTAAGATGCTTAGTGATTAGTATGTCTTAGCACTACTAAGTAACTAAGTATATTACATAAAGCTCTAGTATATAGCATTAGGCATTAAGCCCTTATAGCTTAATGTGTTTAACTTAAGTTACGAGTATAAGTACAATATAACATTATACTTGCCTAAGTTACTGTCTAGCGTATACTGTCTCTCTATCTGCGAAAACCAACCAATAAGAAGCTTGACACTAGAAGTCTAATATTCATTCCACTCGAGCTATACTCTTAACGAAGAGTATTAATACTTTTATTTCTGCTATTCGGGAATAGTGGGCAAAAATATCACAAAAGAATATAGATAACTATATTCTATCTTTGCTAAGACGCTATTCTAGTGTAGTAGAAGCTAAGGGGTGGTATACTAAGTACTAGTTAATATATAGCTAATACTATTCTTTCTTTATTCACCAATTATATTACCTCTACTATCTATCTATATTTCATTTATATAGTTTCTAGTACTATATATATAAAACTAGTATATTATAAATATCTATTTATATAAATAGATAGAAGAAAAGTTAAAATTTACAGCGCGAAATTTGGCGCTAAAGTTAGAAGATTTTTTTACTCTACGTTTAAGAGGACATATAGCCTTCCTCGTGCTAACTAAGCAATAATACCAGACACAATCTTATACGCCAAGAAATTCTCTATTCAACGATATATTTTTTATTAGTTTAGCGCTAATACCCATTGAGCAATGGATGTTTAAAAATCACAACTTTTTTGAGTTCTTTTTTTTGGGTCACCCCACTGTAATATTAACTACATCTACGAGGCTATTAACGCTAGAGAACTAACTAATAAGTAGAGGAAGTTTTTTAACAGGCTGTAGAGTAACGAGAGCAAGGCGTGGATAGGTCTAGTCCTTTAGTTCTTTAGTTAAGAGCTGGATGTTTATAGGGGACGAGGACGGTGTCGTAGACATGTCGCTCATGTTAACGCTACGTAATAGTGTTAATCAGTGGAGCTAATGATGAGTGCGCGTAGTTACTGTTTTAATTATCCGCTTTACTTACTAGTCTTAATAAATCTCGGAATTTCTTTTCTCAAATAAATGCATCTTAGAAGACCGAAGCCATAAAGCGTATAAGCATAGTAATTATTTAATTTATTTACTACAACCCACCTTGCTGTGCTTGCTCTCAACAGGAAAGAATCTTCTTGTAGCTAGGCCTATGTTTGCCACCGCGTTTCGCAAGGTCCGCGAAAGTCACTTCTTCTGTATCTGCCCCTCGTTATGTGAAAAGTATCGCATAAGGGGTTATAGGGTTATCGGGTTATCGGGTTATCGTCGAGGCTGGCAATCGTAATGCGGCCATCTTCTTCGTGCTTTAGAAGACGCATCGACTCGTGTGGATAAGTAGTGGGCGTGCGGTGGGAACGAGACGCACTCCGCCTATCGAAGCGTCGACTCAGATTTTGGTATTCTGGTTTATGCTAGTTGGCCTTTTTCTCCGGCCATGTCCGCTAGGTGAGAGAAGTACGAGGATGTAGTAGGTCGGACGAGGGATCAACGGCGAGTCTGCAGAGCTGTAGAGCGGCGCGACAGTTTACCTTTACGTATGGCATGCGAGCTTTCGCGTTAGCTATAGTCGGGCGTTACACATTACCTCAAAGTTGCACAACAACTGTATCGGAAACTAGTTACGGTTGCGGTTTCGATGCTGGACGTGTTCGTTGACATGAGCTACACACCAGGGCCTTCAAACCTAGTCCTACTTCTATTCCGAGCTGGTTTTCGAGTGTCCTGGGGCGCTTGACAAAGCACCGCACAGCCGCACAGCCACTTAACCACATATCTAGCGTCAGCAGTGTTACACGGGGTTGTGCTATACTTCTCTAGTCTTGGTCCAAGTTAGCTTGGCTCAGGTTTGGCAGTAATCAAACTGTTATCGGACAATTGATCATCTAGTTAATTAATCTAGACCTTATCAGAGCCTGTTTAGCTCCTAGCTTTAGCCGTAGTCCTCGTCCTAGTATGAAGTGTTACACGGGGTTGGGACCTATACTTCTCTTTCCGGGTCCGCACTAAGGCCGGCAAGCTTCATGCTAGTGTTCCGTGAGGTAATTGTCTAGCGATTCAGTGGAGTGACGTTCTTAATAGAAGAGAGAGCAATAGGTAAGATAACCTAATCTATATTGCTATAGACTAACAGGTAACAATCTTATTAAGTAAAGTAACTAGTAAGAAAGTACAATTTGAGTTGACCACAATGAGAGTAATAATCAGATCTATCTACCATTATATTATCCTTGCTTCCAGTCCTGGTATGAGGACTCTGTCTAAGATTCACTGACCCCTAGTTGCATATGTGAGGCCATGTCCTCACATACCTTGGGTGACATCACTGATGCCAGCGTCTTGGCGCGATGCTAGTCATGTGATTAGCGCCCCGCGATGATTATTACCTTCTAACGTGGACGTCCATAGGCCTTCCGCCATCTCGTCACTTGTCAAGGAGAGAATCCTTCTTGTTATTTGTAACAAGAAGTTAGCTTCTAATATTATATCCTAACAGAGAATGGTTATTAAAATTACAGTCAAGTTATACTGAATCATAGACTAACGTTTATTAAATGCTATAGAAGCTAGCTTTATAACCTATCAAGTAAACTATCTATTACATACCTCTAAAATAGTGTCTAGTTAGTAAACTAACTTTACAGAGAGCTTCTTCTTATGCTAAGTAAGCTCTTGCTCGCCAATTCCTTAACGCTAATATCTATTATCACCGTGAAGATTGCCATCAATGCAGTTATTGTTCCAACCCTAGGCATAATCTACAAATTCCTTCCATATAGCAGTTATATCTAGAATTATCTCCTTTATAAATAGCATTCCACAGTCCGCAGGCTCATAGGTGAATTGCAGAATAGTGTTAGACCAATCTCCATCGCGTATAGCATCCAGGAAATCGACATTTGAGAGCTCCCGGTGACTGAACGGTGATATTCCAGAGGTCCCATAAGCGTAGCTCATTTCGTTTGCATGAGTCGGGCTATATAACCTGAAAAAGATCCATGCCAAACTGATCTGTTAGCTTGCATAGATTATAGCTGCATAGTCAGAAGGAACTTACTTGATTCTCATTTGCATAGGTTCCTGCAACGACCTTCCTTAGGCATTTCTCAAATTTTCCAAAGAGATCATAACCTCGTCGAACTTTCATGGTCCAATTTCTCGGCGAATTCTTGAGCGTAGCGATAGTGCTTTGGAACTTCAGCATGAGCTTGATGTTATTGAATAGAACGAGAGCAGCGATCTGATTGAACGGTACTAAAGTAAGGTAGTCTCATAAGGTTAGCCTTGATATATATCATAGTTATGCATCCTTTATGAGCTCTCTTATTATACGCCAGTTTCGCAGGTATAAGTAGATCATAGCCTTGATTCGTTAGATTCGCATTCCAGATATCGCTAAGGTAGGAAATTTGAGCCCAAGCACTTGATTTGAAGTCTCGTGCGTGTAGTCGGAGATGGTCCAGTGAGGCTGAGGGCACATCTGCAGAAAATCCAAGAGAGGCAACCAAGACACACGCAAAGATTTGGTAAGACAGTACTGAGTTATGTTAATGACTGAACAAATGGTAGGTCAAGACCGATCAGGATGGTGATAACGAGATGTGGTGCCTCATTGTCGCTGACTGCGTGGGTTATCTAATATCAATCGTGATTCTAGTTATTTTACAAAATCTCAAAAATAATCATGAGTGCTACTCTAGGACAAGATGATTTGGCTCATGTATCGTGTTGCATGGCTCTACCTAATTTTAGACTATAACGTAGTTCTATTGAACTTACTTCATCTGACTAAAGTTGAAAATGTCAGAAAAATGCGAATCACGCGAGATATTTGTGTGCATTAATGGATGGGGCGGTACAGTGCATGGTTACCGGCAAACATCCAAGAACTACTCGACCTGTCAGACGGGACAATAATCGGAAATTCGAGGGCTTTAGCATTTACCATCAACAATGTAAGGTTTCAGTTGAGTCTCTCTATCTAACCACCTTTTGTATCTATCTGTAGTTGAAGTCTACTAATAGACTCTAACTGCGCCGTATCTGGATCTCCCTTGATCGTAGTTGTTGTTCTCTCACACTCATCCTTAAGCTGACTAGTGTAAGTATCATTAGGTTGATCGATGTCGGCTGAAGTGTTTAGATGACGGTAGATATCTTTGCTGTTCTCAGCAGCTGAACTGACGGCATTCCGAGGAGCAGTTCTTCTGAGATTGAATCGGCTATTTCGCTTGCGCATTCTAATCCACACCATGCCTGCCATAATGAAAAATAGTATGAATGAAGTCACAACGTTTATGACTATCTTGCCTGGGTTACCGAGGAGCTGGCTGTCGATTTCGTGAACAGTCCAGGGGAGGCATTTCTACATGAGTGTGATATAGATACCGAGGCCGATACAAAGAAATGGTATTATGAACGAAGCATACTTTTCGGCGATATGCACAATATGCTTCTGCTTCATCGTAAGAAAAGTGATGAGACATAAGACACCAAGAAGGATGTAATAAGTCACGACATATATCGCAATCGCTGCAACCTAAAATTGGGAGAAGAGGGGGATGTACGTGCCGATATTGTCCCCGCCGTTCATGATGGTTATTGAGGCGACCTTGAGGATTGTTTTGGCGTTTGCGATTTACTGCGACTCTGGCTCTTCTTCCTCATCGATACTTTTCAGGAAAAGGACACCGAGTCCTTTCCAAACACCAAGCAGGAGTGGTAATAGCCCCAAAAATCCGATAGGTTCAGAGGGAAGCCCTACTGCGGCGGCATACCCAATCAAACTAACGCCGGTGATGACGGTGAAACCGATGTATTGGCCAACGACAATCTCAATGGGGGTTAGTTTCTATGAACTCTTCGACTCTGCGAAGAACATATGTAACAAGTACGAACGTATCGTCGATATTGGTGAGAATGAACGAGAAACGCGCTTCGCCAACGGCGCTGCCGAACTGCATAATTGAGGTTGCTGACTTCGACTATACAGCAAGTAAATTATTGAAACAAGGATATAGGGATAAAAGTGCTGAAGCCACAGCTAGGAAGCAATTGATGTGGCTAGGGTTCTTTTCTAACGGTGTTCGGACCAGATAAGTTACAGGATTTTTCAGGACTCCCACCAAAGTGCTAAGAAGCATGATACTATACATACCCACCTTGTTTTGAATCATCCAATCAAACTTTCATCTGCATCTAGCCCTATTCCTCTATTGCCTATTCGATCTGGCTGGTCAGAGACCAAACAAAAGCAGCCACACGCAACGTGCAGCTTTTCAGGACTTTCGCCCGAAGATGGGTCTTCCCAAGGCTTGTCAAGTTACTAACAAGCACAGCCCCATTTTAATTCTCTTGCGCTGTTGCCGTCACTGCCGTTTGGGATGATAAGTGGATTTTTTTAGTCTTGTTTCTTATCCTTAGCTAAGTATTTCTGCCACGTTATGTAAATGCAGAGAATTATCAAGGCACTGGACATATTACGTTAGATAAGACCCACAACCTCCTTGGGCCAGCGCGTCCATGGCTCCCAATATGAGCCTAAGCACTCGTCAATGGCACTTACGATACTCTTTCCGCAGCCCTCTGCCCACCAATATCCATTAAGCTTTTGCAGCAAGGCCCCGAAATGAGCAAATAAGACCAATGCTGCTGGCTGTCGCTGGCGTTGCAAGTCAAAAAACTTTTCCGGGGCAATGAATAACCACATGAAAGGCCCCGACCCTATCCCATGGTAGCCACATTCACCGCTAGCATTGCCACCTGAGTTTTTTAATTGCACCATCCACGCCCAAAACTGACGCAAAAGATGTAGACTAGTCTCATATACTTCGGCATGTTTGTCATCTTTCCAGAGTTGCCCGATGTCTCTCAGTCTCTCATCGTCGGCTGTTGGATTATCATTCGGGCTGATTATCTCCCAGTTACCAAGGCTTATCATTGAGCTCAGTGGACCCATACGAACGTGTTCAAGCACAGGAGGCAGAACGGCTCCGACGCCTCGAAGTAGCGGTATCCATTCCGCGCCGAGGATGCGCGACACTCTAGAACAACCCCCAATCTGCTGGTCAAAATCATGCTGAAGTTGGCTCAAAGTAATGAACGCGTGAAAGAACAATAAAGTAGCGGTTGCGAACACAGCATCGCCATTGTCAGCACCAATATGGTTTATTACCTCATGGAACCCTTTCAATGCCTTGGCATGATGACAGCCTGCATCTATAATTGATGAATGCCTCCGCGAAGGGTTCAGATAGGCAACGTGGAGAGCCGCGATACTGAGAAGACTGTGCATGACGTAAGGGTGTTGGAAAGCAACCCTCGGGAAGTGAATGCGCCAAATTTCAGCCGAACTCGGAGAGTCTACCATACTTCCACTAGTAACGAGGTTCCAGTGATGCAGGAGCTCCATATCTTTCAAGTCGAAAAGGTGCTGGGGGTGGCTCAGGTCAATGTAAGAGGGTTTGTAAGTATGCCTCACTGGGGAGCCCGATGGACTGGCAAGATTTTCTGATTGGGTCGGCGAATACTCGGACGAAGCGGGCTGGGTTGGGGCTCCAGGGGCAATATCGTATACGCATGATACGTGGTGCCGGGTGCAATGCGTGCAGCTAGGCTTTCCTTCACTGCACTGAGACAAGCAAGTTAGCTTTGTTGCGCACCTCTCACGTGATGAAATTAACGCTCACTTGCCTTTATCCGTCGTCTCTTGCATTCCCTGCATCCTGCACGCGATTTGCGGTGCGCTCGTCGTGTTTTGACCATTTGCGACTTGAAGCTCTGCATGAAATGTCGTGAATTACCGTAGCGTGGCGCACTTGGGACGTGCTAATTAGGCAAACGAGATACGCTCATAGGTTAAACGAGATACGCAATTGCTGGGTGTGCTGCCCTTTATGTGGTGGATTGGATTGGATTGCCAAGCTTCTAGACGTAGCGTCAGCGCCATTGCGGCATCTCCACGCACAGTCATTGGTGAACAGCTGCGACTTATAGACACTAGTTACCATCGACCCCCTTCATGGCGAGTCATGTCCATCTTAGGGCGGCCGTTGAAGGTTTCGCAAAGATACTAGCCGCACATCAAGAGCTCGTTAGAAGGACAGAGTAGATACTATTTGGTCTGACATAGTAACTATAGTTACTACTTTGTTGTGTGCCTTGGGTAGATCATTATAAAGAAGTGAAAATATATCAGTGGGTAGCTAGTTTCCTAGCCTTTTTGTAATCAATGAAGTTTTGAATAAATATATACAACACTTGTGAAATAAATGAAGAGATATGTATACATATATTTTAAATAATATATGTCAAGATAAAGGTCTTACCTCCTGCAACATGAAATGTTCCGTTTCCGTCTACTTTCTGGCCATTAACGTCGAAGATTCCTCTTGTCGACCCATTCCCGTCTGATAGGGGGACAATCACTGTACCCAAACTTCCGCTTGGGCTCTCCACCTCTAGCCTCTTTATTACGTTACCAGTAGCATTCCAAGCCACGAAAATCTCACCCCCCGGTACAGGCAATTTTCCCCTCGCCCAATCCAGCCCAAGTGTCATTGGAGCAATCTTCCATTCCTTGTAGCCCGGTTTTACGGCGCTCACTCCTAAGACGTGTCCACTAAGCTCTCCAGTCGGACCTGCAGCCCACCCATGGCACAGACTAGTTGTTCTTCCAAATGCGGGCATACCTGTGGCGTTCAGCGTTTCCCAGAAACACCCGGTGTAATATGGGCCTTTAGGGTCAGTCATTGGTGCCCACAGGCTTTTCAGAAGATTCAGAGCAGACTCGCTATCTTTGCTCTGAAATGCTGCCCGCAGATGATAAGCCGATGCATAGGGACTGATGTATTTTGCAAAACCGGATGCAGTGACTGCTTGCGAGAAAGCAAAGTAACCGACAGGTGTGGACAGCTGTTTGAGGCTCTTCAGAATCATCGATGAAGTATGGTTATTCTTATTCACTCCAGCAAGAATGGCCAAAGCGTTCGAGTCTTGTCCGAAGCCGTCTCTGATAGTGTCGGAAACATAGTATGCGTTTAGCTCATTCGACCAAAGGTTTTTGTCAATAGCTATCCGCAAGGCTTCCAGTCGCGAGAGGTATGGCTCTGTGTCGATGCCACCGTCGGCGAGTAGAGTAATGCATTCTTGGAGAGCGTATGCGTAGACCATGTTGAATTTGGAGACAACACCACTCTGTGGCGCATCATAATAGTTCCAATCACCGCCAAAAGCAGCGTTGCTGATGTTCAGTAATCCATTTTCAGGAAGAACTTGAGAATTTGCCCAGTCTAGCATGCGCATAGCTCTTGGTGCCCACTCCTTTGGTAGTTTGTCGTCGCCAGTACGCTTGTAAAACCCTGCAACAGCGGTAAGAAGGTTGAATGAGTAACCAATCAGGCCGGTTTGGTTGACGTTAATGGGTGTAGAAAGCGGTTCCTGTTGAATTTTTGCAGTGGGTGCGAAAAATCCTGGAGTCAGCTGGTAAGAACCAATAAGATCCAGCGTGCCTTGAACATAGCTGATACTGTTTGTGCTTGCCAGTGAAGATACCAATGCGATATCAAGATCACCGGCATACGCAATCCGATCGCGTTTCGAGCCGTCGACCGTGGTATCCCGTGGATTTGTACCGACAAGGAAATCAGAAATGAAAGTATCATCCGTCAAGGAAGCTGAATAAATTAGTTCTCCTGACAAGTTTGTCGCAGACAAATTGCGGAAAACAGCTGAGTGGCCGAGCGGTGCACCGAATCCGAATGACCCAAAAAAAGATGAAGTCTGCGAGAACTGGAAAACTGGGACCTCTTGGATAGCGACGGCAATGTTAGTCATGTTGGCCATTACTTGCACTTTGTGCCAGACACCAGTGGCTATAGTCTGCGGAAGCGTTGCAAATGCAATCTGAGGAGAGTCCTCAGTAGATCCGAAGTGTGCTGAAATCGACCCATTAGCAATATTGCAGAAGATGTAAATTCCCGAATTCAGAGTATCAGCAAGTACTGTGAATGCAAATCCTTTTGCGATTGGTTTTACTTCGAACGCAAGCTGGTATTGAGTCAACGCAGCAGCTATGCCACCCGCCGAAAGCACTTGAGGTGCTTGGCTTTCAACCAAGGCTCCTTCCAGCGAAACCTGCCAAAATGGAGGTACGGAGTTCGCAGGAATGTCATTCAATTGAACAGTTCTCGCTCCCACAGTCCATATTCGATTTAGAACTTCATCTGATGACTCGAAGTGTCCTGGCAGCCGATCAAGTGGCGTGGTTGGGATTGAGGGTTTCACTCCAACCTTCTCCAGAACTAGTTCGCCGGCTGTCGAGAGGTTGAATTTTTGGTATCTAAAGCCTCCTTGGATAAGTCTGTTTGTATGTACCAACGGCCCACTGATGTTATATTGATTAACTCTGTAGGTGTCCATAGCTGCCGCTAATCCGAGAGGTCCATCACTCTGTTATTGAAATCAGTATAGGCACCGAATACTTCCAGTTAGGCACATACCATGTAGTAGTTATCCAGTACTTCTTTAGACTCGCTGTATGTGATCTCCAGACCAGATGTATCGCCGATAGCAGAAAGGACTTGAAATGTCGGAAAGCCCTCGACATTGGCTTCATAATCAAGCACTATGACGCCCGGAGTCGATTTGGACCCTTTGATGGTGAATGTGCCATTTGTCGCATATATCGGCACACTACTATTGTTTGCTGGAAATGATAGGCTGGAGTACCGGATAGGCTGTCCTGATTGGATGGTCGATACTGATACGGCCTGTGCTCTTGCCACACAAATCAGTAGAACCGTCTGAGAGAACCTCATGGTGTATTTTTCCAGTATTCGGCAAGGATTGACTGGAAGGTATGAACGAAGAGCAACGAATGGATGATGGAAGGAACTTGTAACGGGCACAAATGTGGCGGTTGAGGGGATATATATGTTTGTATTACTGGTACTATATAAGGACAAGACTAATCAGTAGGTTCCTCGTGAGAATCGTATTACTCATTTGTTTGGTAATTTACGAGTTCGACCCTGCAAATTTGCGTGGTCAACTTCAGTACCCTAACTCAAGGCAACGCTTCTGTTTCTGCCCCACTCATCGATATACACCGTTCTCATATGGGACGTTGTGGGTACCTGTTGGGCACAGCAGCGCAATGACGTTTCGCGGGTACGCATAGCTTGGAAGCATGATGCTAGCTTCGCCCTAAGCCGGCTTTGGTTCTGAATTAGGCAGTACGCGATTTCGCGCCAAGAAGCTTTTCACAGTAATCATACATTACCACGAGTCTGAGGAAGCCAGTCTGGGATTCGTGCGGCGAGACCCAGATTTGGAGGCAATGCATCATCACATAGCCAGAATAACGGTTTTAAAAGCTCGTGAGGAGATGAATTGAGTCTGGACGATATGTTCAACTTGAGAGACAATTATGGTTGCAAGTTGCGAAGAAACCAATGCACGCGATCGTTGGGTAATGATGTTCTGAAAGGTTATGCTCAGTTACTCACGTTTGTTGTGAACCTTGTGGTGCGGCAAATAAATACTACTGTTTGAGATGTACATGCACTGAGGGCGACCAGCGCGCTAGTTCCTGAACGCGTCTGCAGTTCGGTGCTGCTAGTTTCAGAGCACACCAAAGTGCAAACCTACCTTCATACTTTCGCACATCGACATAAAGGCAACAGGCAAAAATTCCCTGGGATTCCTGATGCTGTCAATTAGGTGATGTATGTAGGATGCGTGAGCCTGGTCCATTAACGTTACAAACTATGTTATTGGTTGATGGCTGCAGATCATCTGCGTGGTTGGTCCCAGCGCCGGGTACGAAATACGCAATGCGACTGCAGGTTGAGCGAGCGAGCGTCAATACGAAAGATACGAAAGCGCTTCCACGTCAAGTGAGCTAGGCTTCGTTTGGCATGACGCGACACCCATGCGCACTCATCCACAATTCACGGCAATCTAGCACCGACTAAACCTAGCTGCATTTGCCTAGCTTTGACGAATAACAAGCCATAGCTTTTAGCATTAAGTGAACAGAATCTTGCAAAACTTCATGAAGTAGCGGATAGGACTGTCAAAATCATCACATCGAGGAGTCGATTTGTTAACGTTAACAATGACATCGGATGCTGCAGATTTCAAACATCTCAACCCCCCATCAGATGAGATGGACTTTGCTTGGGACAAACCTCCCCCCTATGAGCTACACTCCTCCAGTACTCTCCTCAATAGCTCGTGTATAGTGCAAGGTATCAGATTCTATCCTCTGCTTCGTGCGTGGCACTGACTATGCACCATAGCTGATGGGACGCTGAATATCGACCTTGCCTCCTCAGCCCCATCTGAACTTGAACAGTCGCTTCCTATACACCCACCAACAGGACTCGAACCAGACGTGAAAATCCCTAGACGGTGTCCGCGATTGAGCATTATCGTGCAGGTGGTGGGCAGTAGAGGAGATGTGCAGCCATTTATCGCCCTAGGAACCGCTCTTCAACAATATGGGCATCGTGTACGGTTGGCAACTCATGACGTATTCGCAGATTTCGTGCGAAAGTCGGGTTTAGAATTTTATCCTATTGGCGGCGACCCGGAGGAGTTGATGTCTGTAAGTACCTGGGGTATTGCCACGTGCAGAGTTGCTTCTTGACCATTACGAGTAGTATATGGTGCGCAATCCTGGCCTACTTCCATCTCTCAATTCTTTGAAAGGAGGCGACATTTCACGAAAGCGGCGCATGATTCACGAGATGTTGCAAGGTTGCTGGAACTCTTGCGTCCTCCCAGACCTGGTGTCACATGAACCTTTCGTTGCAAACGCAATCATTGCGAATCCACCATCTTTCGCACATGTACATTGTGCGCAGGCTTTAGGAATTCCTGTCCATATGATGTTCACGATGCCCTGGACGGCGACGCGTGCATTTCCACACCCGCTCACAAACGTGAAAGCGAGGGATATACAGCAGTCGCAAGCGAATTATCTTAGCTATGGCCTCGTCAATATGATGACTTGGCAGGGGTGAGTGCTATGTCTCCAGTTCAGTGCTTTATAGGTATCACATTGTTGTACGGATGCACGGATGAAGCATGGTGAACTAAAATTGCTATCCAGGCTGGGTGATGTTATCAACCTTTGGCGAACCAAGGACCTTGGATTAGAGCCCGTTCATCCGAGCATGGGTCCCGATCTTGTTGACTGGTTGAGGTTACCTGTCACCTACTGCTGGTCGCCAGCACTAGTTCCAAAACCTCAAGACTGGGGTTCAAATATTGGTAAGGCAGCGATATATTATAAGATTATGCACTGCTCTAATAGGTTTGAGATATCTGTGGGTTTTTCATGCGGGAAGAAACTGTATACACACCGCCTGAAGAGCTTTCGAGATTTCTGCGTGCGGGCGCCGTCCCTCTGTACGTTGGATTCGGTAGCATAGTTCTGGAGAATGCGAAGAGAACAACCGAAATCATCCTTGAAGCTTGTAGGAAAGCCGATGTGCGGGTCGTTATTTCGAGGGGATGGAGCAAATTAGGGGGAAATGATCCGAATACAGAAAATGTCTTCTACTTAGGAGACTGCCCTCATGGTAAGCGCCAACGGATCATCTGAATGCAAATATCGCTAAAGTTTTTAAGAGTGGCTTTTCAAGCAGGTCTCTGCTGTCGTACATCATGGCGGAGCAGGTACGACAGCCTGCGGCCTATACAACGCTCGGCCGACAGTCATAGTACCTTTTTTTGGCGAGTAAGCACTGAGCTCTGTGCAAGACAGATATTTCCCGTGGCTAATCTGAGCAATAGTCAACCCTTTTGGGGCAACGTCGTTGCCAGCAATGGCGCTGGACCAGCCCCAATACCACACAAGTCTATGAGCAGCCAGAACTTGGCAGACGCAATCGAGTTCTGCCTATCATCTGAAGCTCAGCGGGCTGCTCGAGCCGTCGCAGATCATATGCGCTGCGAGAATGGGGTTGATATGGCTGTGCGGTCATTTCATCGTCATGTCAACTCCTCGACCATGAGCTGTGACATGTCACCTCAAGATGCCGCAGACTGGGTTTGCCGTTCACCAGAATCAGGATTAGATATGAAACTATCACACGCTGCCTTGAGAAATTTAACCTCTAGTGGACAACTGAAGCTTGCAAATGCAATTCCGTAAGTCCGCTTACCACTCTTTAGAGAAATCTATAATGCTCATATTAACAAGGTATCGGCCAAAGGAGTACAGCATGGAACTTGAAAGGTGGGACCCATTGACCGCAGGTGCATCAGCTTCCCTTGGCATTGTGACTGATTTCACGTCCGCACTCGGAGGTACCTTCGTCAATCCTTTTAAGAAAGTTAGGCAAGCTCGACTTGCGGGTAGTGGTGGTGCGTCATCTAGCTTAGCAGCAGCTGGTGCTGTGGGCCAAGGCGTCGCAGCGATGGCATCTAGCGTAGGCAAAGGCGCCTTTGTTAGCATGCCTTTGGCACTTGCAGAGGGGTTTAGGTATGCCCCAAAGCTTTATGGCGATGATGTCAAAGATCACGGTAAAGTAAAGGACTGGAAGAGTGGAGGGATTGTTGCTGCGAAGGTTTGTATTAATCGGGATTAGCAACATGGTGTTACTAACACATTCCCAGAATTTTGGAACCGGTTTCTACGAGGGACTTACGGATATTGTTACAAAGCCTCGGGATGGTGCAAAGAAGGAAGGTGCCCTTGGGTTTATGAAAGGTGTAGGCAAAGGTTCGTTGAATATGGTAACAAAACCTGGAAGCGGTGAGTAAGGTTCAGAACTATTCTTATTGAAGATGAGGCTAAGTGAAAACATAGCAATGTTTGGATTGATGGCATACCCTGCACAAGGAATCTACAAGAGCATAAAGAGTTGCAACAAGAACACTGTCCCAGACAAAATTTGGGCTGAGAAAATTGCATGTTTTCGCTGCCAAGACCCCATCGCAAAACCATCAGTGCCGAAGAGTGGCTGAAGCCAATGGCTAGATGCGAAATAGATTGGACTGCGGGTAGTTGACCACCCACATGCCAGTCAGGTTGATCTTGAGTCATCATGATTTGCACGCCACATGCATGCAATAGCCTTCAAATCCACCTTCACTCCCTAATCTCCATAGTCTTTGCAACCAGGTCACGAATTTCGCTGCGGTTCTGTCCTTTCCTTCAAAGGCGAGAGTAAAATTGTAGGGTGGATCGAGATGGGGTCAGCTAATTCACTGATATTCGCACAACTCAGTACAATATCCGGCATTAGTGGCCAATTATCCTCACTGTGCAGCATTTTTATCATCAGATACAGCGATGCAGTGACGTAACGGCAATGGATAGAAGTATTGCAGTGAAACTCTAACAAGGCTGTATGAGTTCTTTATTGGTTACCCATTGATAACTTATAAAGTAGCAAAGAGATAGAGAGAAGGTAATCAGCGTCGCTAGGGAGTTAACAGTCAAGGAGGTTGCACAATCCACCATTGTACCCGCTATTATATTTATAAAGATGTCTAAAGTCAGGAAAAAGATATACACATATTTTGATGAATGGCAATATACTATTAATGCACTGTAGTATCATTTCAAGCCCGTACAGGTACGTTCGGTAAGACCTGTGGATGGCAGTTACCCTATGTAAGAGACTAAACATAACGTTTTTAGTAACATCATAATCTAATACAACCTTCAACATAGATATTAGAATGAATTTAAAGTTAAGCGCTGACATTAGAATAAGTTGGTAACGTGCCAGTGAAATGCGCATGGAATATACTCAAACGGTAGAAAAGAGCTACGTACGGCGGATAACGTGATGGATAAGCGAGTCGCGCAGGCAAGCGAGTCGCGCACCCACTAAACCTACGCACCTCTATAAGCGTATAGCGCCACCACAATGTAACTATCTTGATATATATTAATATAATATATTAAGTAGTACCTATAGTATCTTTCTTGCATGTACGCGTATTATGACCAGTCTCTCTACACCTACTACAGCGCGCAAGAGCCTGGCGACTAGCACCTGATCGCTCTCCTCCTTGACGCTCTTCATGAGCAATCTGCTGATCAGCCTCACGCTGAGCAAGTAGATCCTCTCCAGCTCCCTTTGTTAGCACTCCTTGCTTCTGTATTCGCTTTTTTTACGCTGCCTACGCTTCGTTACTGCTGCATTAGCTCTCTCAAGGCTAGTGATCCGATCGCGCATTAGCTCAGCCGAGAGTATCATTACCTCTGCCCCTTCTTAAGCTGGTCAATT